TTACTGGGTACCGCTGTGGTGTACTCATACTACGCTTCTGCACATCTTTTTGTGCAGATCCAGGTACATTTTACCAGCCTTGACGTCAGTGAATTACTTGCGCACGGAGATTTCGAGGTATATCTGCCAGCGTCCGCAGACTCCGGAGTTCCCTTCTATCATTTTATGTTGCTTCCTTATATTTTATTTAGACCTTGACATATAGAGACATTGAGAATAAATTCTTAGAACCTTGTGACTTATTTCTACTGAATTTTGGGAGTTGAAATTGTTTGAATTGTAGTTTATTTATTTCAGATATTTATTATTATTCCGCATTGATAGGCTTACCTAGTATTAGAGACTAGGTGCCACGACATCCTACGGAGGGAATTTGGGGTCGTGACACCTTATTTCCTAAACCATTACTTAGTTATAATATTTTGGCGGAGTCATAATATGAACTTTATTGGTTCTAGATTCTAGGATAGTAACATCAAGTGTTAGTGACTGTATTCTGAATTTAATTTTTGTACATATTTTATGATTTTTTTAAATTTAAATACATTGTTCGAACTAAAGTTATTATGTACAGAGGCGAATCCAAAATTTAAATTCTATGGGTTCAACCATTAAGGTTTTTAGCATTACATCATTATATTTTTAAAGTTATGAGTTCATATTTATTATTTATTGTAATTTTAATAAATTTTTACACATAAATTTATAATTCGCAATAAAAGCACTGGGTTCAGTTGAACCCGGTGTTAGAGGGCTGGATCCGCCCCTGACTATGTACCTCACCTTCTAGCTACGCCAAGTTCCACAACAAAATTCCCATTGTACGTTAGGTTGACGAGTTCACGATTGAAAGACTAAGAAGAAAAGGAAAGAATAATAATAGTACGTAAAAGAGACTATGGATTAGCTAAATTAGGCAAACTTTTAACTTCAAACTAGTTAGTAACACCCCACGCAATTATCACCACTTTTTACCCTATATTAAAATGATATAAGCTGTATATATTAACAATGTAATTTTTTTAAAATATTATCCGTATAAATTCACCTTTCTAGGAGTTATTTTCGATAGTATTAGGTTATCAATTAATGTTTACTATATAAATATGTCTGTAATTACCTTTTAAGTAACATGACCATACAACTATCTTTTACACTATGAACTTAAACTCTATTAAACATTATACACAAGCACGTCGAATAATATGTTTTTGCCTTAAATGACAATATTCAGAATATAAATCCATAACAAAGGAATAAAATTAGGACAAGAAAACATGATGAATCTTCTCTTTTTGGTTTTTTCTTTTCATTGACAGGTCGTAGAATTTGAATTAATAAATAAAGGAAATTACCTGGTAATTTCTCTGGATGAGTGTAGCAAATTCCATTTTCTCCATCAATGGTTGGAATGAATTCGTTAATTAGAGGATGAAGCTTATGAGTATCTGAAAATACCTTTGCTTTTAAATGCTCAAGAATTTCTTGATCAGAAGGATCAAACTTCACTCCAGCTGGTAGACCAGGCAAATCATGTATTCCCCTCTAGTAATTCCAATTATATATGTAAATTAGCCGCTAATAAATTAGTTCAAATATAAAAAACTACGTGACTTAAAAAAAATATATAAAAAGTTTTACCCTCGGTTATACTTTAGAACTATTTATATCAATGATTTTGTATTGTCTTTGTCTTTAGAGATTGAGAGCATTCCACATGTCAAAATACGTTTTCGAAAAAAAATTCGAAAATTTATCTATCTACTTTAGAGAGTGGGTTGCTCTAGTGGTGAGTTCGACTTCCAACCAAGAGGTTATGAGTTCGAGTCACCCCAAGAGCAAGGTGGGGAGTTCTTGGAGGGAGGGAGCCGATGGTCTATCGGAAACAGCCTCTCTACCCTAGGGTAGGGGTACCCTCCCCAGACCCCATTAGTGAGATTATAATGATTGTTGTTGTTGTTATTGTTGTTGTTTTAGACCATGGTTTAATATTACCTCCAATATATTTTAGGTCGAAACTTTATTAAGGTCAAAAGCAAATAGTAGACAATTTACTAGCAATACGGGCATGAACGACCCTAAAATATAACAGAGAATAAAACTAATTAATATATTTCAAATAATAGAAGAATATTTCTGATCTTTTCCCAAAAATGAAAAGGTCGCAGATTACTACTAAAAACCTAACACGTATAGATATATCATGAATACCTGATTTTGAAGCTCAATGCTATGGCCACATGAAGGGCAAGTTATTGTTCTAACTTGATGATCAACTTTTGAGATTATAACACTTTTTTCCTCTGATGTAGCTTTGATTAATTGGAGTGATTCTTGATCATTTGATTCATTGCACCATGTCATGATTTCTCTGCTATTGCTCTTATTCCTATTCACCTTCCTTTTCCAGTTTCCTCTTCTTCCTCCCCTAACTGAAAAAGAAAAAAAAACAAGAACGCTGTAAAACAACAACAACATAGCCAGTGTCTGGGGAAGGTAGTATATTCGCAGACCTTATCCCCTACCTTGTTGAGGTAGAGAGAGTATTTCCAGAAGAGTCTCGGTTCAAAAATTCACATAAGATAAAACGGGAAAAAAGAAAAGGAAAGGAGAAGGAATTTATAAATATTAAAGCACGTTTATTGAGTTAAACCAAATCTAAACAAAATCTAGTAAGAAATTGAAATATTCACTCTTACTTTTTTGGTTTCTTCACGTTTCTGTGATTGAAATGAACCAAAAAAATAGAAGAAATCCAAGGCTTCATATGTTAAACCCTCAAAGAGAGAAAAGATAGAAGAAAATAAAGGAGAGGGGGTTCAGACTATTACCTTGCTTGTGTTTATGTGAAAGGAACAACTAGAAAGAATATTTTCTACATAAAAGGAGGGAAAAAAATATTAAAGGAAAATAGGTTGCTTAGACGTCAAGTCTGGTTTTGTTTGTGTGTATATACACATGTACCAGAATATATGCAGTTTGTAAGGTCCCATTTCTTACTATTCCATGATTCTTATAAGTATGTATTTAACTTATATGCATTGACAGTTAATATTCACCAATAGAATTTTAACATGTTATAATAGATATATAACTTGATTTTTTGTTTAATTTTACTAATTTCTTTTAATGAACGATTAAACCTGTAGTTATTTTTTAGGCGATCGGATAGTGTAAAATATATTCTTTAAACTATCAATGTTGAAGACATATATAATTAATTAAATCAAGTGTTCTCTATATCTCTAACAACTTAAAATTTTAGATGAGTTGATCCTACACTTCAACGTGGTGTTAGAGAAGACAGAGATTCTGGGTTTGAATCTCACCAACACCCAATTATTAAAAAAGAATTTTTACGTAGTTGAACGTCACTTGAACCATGAAATAAAATTTCAGGGTGAGGGTGCGTGTTAAAGAGATAATTAAATAAATAAAAGTGTATTTTCCCTAACAACTTAATTTTTAGATGAAGTTATCACACTTCAACAATCAATATACTCAATTTGTATTTATCCATCACTATTTTAACAAAGAAAACAAAAGATTAGTAAATCAAGTAGTAATATTTTTTTAAAAATAAAACTATCCAGATGGAGGTTCTAGGTTATGTTGTATTTCACAAAAACGAACATGAGGGGAGCATAAACCATACCTCGAAACTAATACAACAGGGGCGATACCATCACCAAATAAAATTGAGGAGGACTGAGAAAATAAAAACGCATAGGTCCTCACTCCAAACACTATATACAACTCTAGCTAATAAAGAAATTATATTTTTCATACTTTGTTCTTATTGTGGGCAACTGCCATTTATTAAGAAGGAATACACTTTTAGCCATGTTTGGGAGTTGTTGGAAGTTCTGGAAACTCTTGGCCTGATTAGAAGTAACAACAAGTTTAGCGAGACAATCAGCTACTTGGTTACCCTCCCTAAGGCAGGGTTGCACGCAGACATTAGCATCATTTATGTTGTTGATGATATTGTCCACAATATGCTTAATCTTGAGGTTGTTGGCCTCTTTTTTTGTCAACATATTTGCAATGTTCAGACAGTCAAGTTCAAGAATAAAATTAGTAAACCCATGATGGCTACACCATTTTACTCCAAACTCACCTGCAAGAGCTTCAGTCATATTATTGATATTACTCTATACGGGGACTGAGAAAGCCATGATCAAATCACCATTACTATTTCTCACAATACCCTCAATACCTGCCGCGCAAGTTTCTTTGATGAAGCTCCCATTAGTATTGACCTTGATAGTATTTGCCGAGGGTGTTTCCCATCTAACTTGCTTTCAAGTTTGAATCGGCTTGAGTTTTTCTATCTTATCACAATAAGTAGGCCACTAGACCTTGCTATCAATACCAGGAACTACCTTCGCAATTGCCTGCTTGATGATCCAGACCCCTTGGTACTTCATAACATTATGGTTAAACTTGTTCTTATTGCTATATCTACATGAGGTCTATTGCTTCCAAATTTCCCAGCATATGATAGTAGGCGCAATCTGCATAATCTGTTTGTGTATTGTGTTAGTAGTTTTTGCATCCCATCATCTCTTGAAAATTCCAATAATAGGTTCAAGTTAATGCTTCATTCCCTGAGGTTTGCCTATTTCATTCCATATGAACTGTGCTGCATCACTTCCATTGGACACATGCTGCATGGTCTCAATCTGTGAATGATTACAACAAAAACATCTAGAAATAATGTTAGTACCAAATTTGCTAATAATGTCATCAAAAGGGAGTCTTTTCTTAAAAATCCTCCAAGTTAAAAAAGAGCATTTAAAAGGGATAGAGTTATGCCAAACCTTACTGATGAACTCATTTTTTTGCCTTCGCGCTCTAATAGAGTGCCAGACAGAGTTGTTGGAGAACAAACCATTTTGAGAGATATTCCAATTTGGAAAATCCTTAGTGTTACTATTACCCATAGTGATCTTAGAGATAATGTCAACAATATGAGCAAGAAGAATATCATTCAACTTTGTAGTATCCCATATCCCATTGCAAATATAATGCTTGACTTGAAGTTTAGCAGATTTTCTTTGATCTTGAACAAGCATGGCCAATGCCCCATAACTTGTCCAATTGTCCCACCAGAAACTCGAGTTTCCTGCTTAAATTTTCCAGATGATGTTAGGCTCAACCTTCTTCTTAATCTTCATCATACCTTTCCAGGCGTGAGAGTCAGAGGAGATAGGAATTTTGGCCACAACATGAGCTCTCTTACAATATTTATTCCTAAAGAAGGTAGCCCAAAGTGAGGGTTGGGTTCTAAACCTCCACCATCTTTTAATGTTAAGAGACTCCGTAATATCATCTATCCTTCTAATACCCACACCACTTTCCTCTTTAGACGAACAAAGGTTCTTCCAGGCACTCCAGTGATAGTTATTTTTTCTTCGGAAGTTCCCCAAAAGAAATTAGCAAAATGTTTCTCCATGAGTTTGGGCATACTTTTAGGGGGATTCAAGGCAGATAGAATATATATGGGGAGAGATTGTAAAACGTGTTTAATTAGGTTCAGCTTACCCCCATAGGAGAGCATTCTACCCTGCTAAACATTGAGCCTCTCATAATATTAGACAACATACCATCGAACAGAGTAGTATTTTTCCTTCCTTGATAAATAAGACACCCCAGATAGTTGAAAGGGAAGCTTTTATCTATAAAACCTGAAGCATTTCTGATCTTGTTAATCCTGCTAGCTGAGGTGTTAGGGGCAGTGATGAAGAAGCTTTTTACATCATTAACTTTCTGACCTGAGGCATTCTCATACCTCCTGATCACCTTCTTGATAAGTTTAATAGACTTATTATCCCCTCCACTAAAGATAATAATATCATCGGCATAGGCTAGGTGGTTAATAATGGGGCCTCTGCAATCCATAGTGAATGGAGTAAAATTGGTCATACTAATGAGACTGTTGAGAGATCTGGATAATTTTTCAGCTCCAATAATGAAAAGAGATGGGGATAAGGGATCCCCTTGTTTGAGCCATTGAGAAGAGGTGAAGAAGTCTTTTCTAGTACCATTAATAATGATAGAATACCAGACATCATCAACCAGTCTAAAGATTAGGTCAATCCATTCTTCATTGAAAGCAAACTTCCTCATAACTTCCATAATAAAGGTCCATGACATTCCGTCGTAGGCTTTTTCCATATCAAGTTTCATAATGATATTGCCACTAGTGTTAACCTGTTTAATATTCTGGACAATCTTTGAGCAAGTAGAACATTTTCAATAATCATTCTCCATTTGATGAAGCCGCTTTGATTCTCGGATATGATCTTGTTAAGCAAGGGATTGAGCCTTCTAGACAAGATTTTAGAAATAATTTTGTAGGAGAAGTTACTCAGACTAATTGGCCCGAGGTCAGAGAAAACCATAGGAGATTCCACTTTTGGTATAAGAACCAAACAAGTATGTGAATAAAATTTGATAAGCCCTCTACCATTGAAGAAATCCTGGACAAAATCCTGCATATCATCTTAGATAATATTCCAACATTTGTGATAAAGAGTCCCATTGTAGCCATCTGGCCCCGCTGAGCTAGAAGAACTCATGCTAAACACACCTTCCTTGATTTCCTCATATTCAGGTATGACACTGAGGTTGACATTGTCCTCCTCAGTTATGCAGTTGGGGATGTAGTTAGGAATGTCATGATCTCTGAAATCATGATGAAAGTTGAAAAGGTGTTGGAACTAATGGACCCCAGCTTTAGCAATGTTATATTTCCCTTGGATCCAGTTGTCTCTATGATTCTTTATTCGATGAAGCCAAAGTTTTCTTCTTCTATCTCTGATAACACTATGAAAATAAGTGGTATTGGAATCACCTTCCTCAAACCATCTGATTTTAGCCTTCTATTTCAACAAGGTATCTTGCATTCCCATCCACCTGATATATTCAACATGCCCTTTGTTCAGCTCTTCTCTGGATTGAGCATTGTTATTGAGAAGGTCAAGTAGTTCCTCCAGTTCTTGTATCTTTGCTTCCCAGATGTTGACTTGATTAAAAATATTACCAATGACTTCTTTAGACTAGTGAGTAAGCTTCCTACTTAAAAGCTTCAATTTCTGTTATAGCCTCCACATAGGATTTTCATTAATCTGAGTGTGCCACACTTCTTCTACCAACTGCAAAAAATCTGGTTGATTCGACCAGAAATCAAGGAATTTAAAAGTATTTGATCCCATTATTGTCACGACCCGGAATTTCCACCGTCTGGACCGTGATGGCGCCTAACATTTCACTTGCTAGGCAAGCCAACGTTAGAGAATCATTTAAACCAATCCTTATTCCCATTCAGTAAATAATAATAATTAACTAAGATGAAATATAATAAGTGCGGAATAATATAAAAAATTATATTAATTACTACCACCCAGATCTGGAGTTACAATTCACGAGCATTCTAGAATTTACTACAAGTGATAGTCTAAAAGAAATACAACTGTCGGAATGAAAGAAACAGTAGAACATAAAAGATAGTCGGGGACTTCAAGATTTGTGAACGCCGACAGATCTACCTTGAGTCTTCGGATAGCGGCCCAATAGCAAAAATCTTGATCACCCCAAGCCGGTACCAAAATTTGCACAGAAAGTACAGAGTGCAGTATCAGTACAACCGACCCCATGTACTGGTAAGTGTCGAGCCTAACCTCGACGAAGTAGTGACGAGGCTAAGGCAAGGCACATACAAATCAACCTGTACAATTTAATAGTGTATATACAAATAACAGTAATGAAGAGCTAGATAGAAAATATCGGGAGGGAAAAACA